ATTACAAGAGAAACAATAGATAAAAACATTTATAAAGATGGAAGACATCTTAGTAAATTTAGATAAAAAACAAAAATAATTTGGCAATGTTTAACCTTTGTGCCTGCAAAATAAAATTGTGTCAAAAGGACAGTTATTCCTTTTATACTGCTATTACTGTAAACACCCTTCACTCCCTCTGCAATGTTTATTGTTTTAAAAAGTGAGGATTAGAATTTTAATAAAACCCAAACATATGAAAATGGATTTATACATTTTCTTGAAAATTGACAACATACATGTTGAACAATTGATTTATAAGATTTACAAAAATAATTTTATATTTACAAGATTATAAAAATGTGAACCAGCTACAATGAAATATTTATCATTTTATAAGGTAATAAATATGAAAATTATTTTTTTTATTCATATATTTACAAAAATGTCTGTGAACAAGAAAATTTAAATAATGATAATTAACTGTAATTATAAATTTTGAAAAAATGCATTTCTGAGCATTTCTTTCATTCACTTTCACCACAAGAATTAAAACAAGAAATAATCTGAGATATAAAATAATCTAAGAAAAGGTATAATGTCTGAAAAATCATATCATAAATTTTCTTCTTCCATAGTTCATAGATATTTTTATAAATTTATGAATAAAATAAATGTTTTCATATTTCTTTATAAAATGGTAAATAATAAATATTGCATTGTAGCTGGTTCACATATTTTTATGATTTTGTAACTTTTCACAAATTTTTGAATATAAATATTTGTTTTCACATTTAATCTTATATATAAAGTACAGTGTATATGTGTGTGTGTTTGTGCATGTGTGTGTCCAAGAAACTCCTCCACTGGTTCAATTTCAATGATTCATAGCTCATTCAAAAGCCCTATAAAAGTTAGGCACAGGGAACTATTTTTCTTGAGCTCAGATTTTGGGCTGCCAAATTATGCTAGGTTAATATATATATATATATATATATATATATATATATATATATATTGATATATTATACTAGCCATTATGTTTCAAGGGGAATAACTCTTATTTTCCTTTTGTATCCAAAATTGCAGCAAGCTTAAAATTTTAAAGCCTCCCTATCTGGTGGCATTCAAGCTAGCTCCTGTGGAGGAGTCTTGGTTTGGCCATCATCACAATAGCTAGGAAGGAGTAGATACAATAGGCATCAATAAACTACAGAAGACCACAGAATTGATCACTGTATTTAAGTATTGAATTAATGTTTAAGCTTATCTTTTAAAAAGTTGGACGATAATTCTTCTGCTCCACATTAACAAAATTACAGATATAATTAAATATATGACAATGGTCATATATTATTATTGGATTCATTATTGGCAGCCACAACCTTACCAACATTAGATATGCAGATGACACTATGTTGATGGGAGATACAGAAAGGAAATTAAAGGAATTCCTCCAGAAGCTGACATAAGAAAGGGAGAAGAAAGCACTAAACATCAGCTGTAAGAAGATAGACTCTATGGTTGTCAGCAAAAGAAACAGCCTATCATGCAAATTACAAATTGGAGATACCAAAATTAAACAAGTACAAAAATTATTTAGGGAGTGTTTTAACAGACAATGGAAATGTGACACTGAAATCTAAAGCACATTGGAATAGTGAAAGATCACTTTCAAAAGCTAAGCAAAAGTACTAAGAAACGGGAAGATTTCATTGGAAACAAAGAATAGAGTATTGAACTGTTCTGCAATGTTAGTACCCCTATATGGCAGTGAATGCTGGATCATCTCATCACAGATGGGGAAGAGACTTGAGGCCACAAAAAGCTTCTAGAGAAGGATGATGAGAATACCATGGATTGAACATGTGAGCAACAACAAAGTTTTAGAAAAAATGAAAACAAAAAGGACACTTATATGTAGCATCAGAAAGAGATGATGTTTTTAGGGCACATAATGAGGAAAGTTGGCTTAGAAAATCTTTAAAAACTCACTGGATATATTGAAGGTGAGAGAGACAAGTAAGCAGTGCATAACCAACCTAATGAGCTTGTGTAACTTGTTGGTAAGACAGGGATTAGGAAATATAGCAAAAAAAAAAATACTAAAGGCTACAAAAGACAGGAAGTTGTGTAGAGCTATGATTGCACACATTCTGAACATAGAGGAAGTAGAGTGGTTTCCTGGTTTCTCTATTCAGAGGTTTTCTTCACTTAGACTGATTGCTACTCAAGGTTAGAGGGCCTAGTCTACTCTGTTATTTAACCCATAGCTGGGAGGAGAAGAAGTGATTTATGCCTTTCCCAAAGGTATTTGTTGAGAAGTGAATGCAACCAGTTAAGTGGAAATTTGATTCCATTTTTCATGCTGATAGCCATTAAACTACCTTCATATCCTATAATATGATATATGTATCTCTAAAAGATATGTGATATTCTGGGACAATTCCAAGTACATATTTAGAATCAAAATACTTGATTTAGTCTTGTACAGTATCATTTGCCAAGATAGCATATAAAGTTCTTTTGCTGTCCAGTATAATTAATATATAACAAGACTTGCCTGTATACTTATTCTATTTATTTGTAGTATTGTTATAGATATTATTATAGACACATTATTGCAGCCAAGTCCCCTTTGGCTATCATTTTGTCTATAATAATATCTATAACAATCAAAGATGAGAACAATGGTTTGAATAGTTTAAATACGTCAAAGTATATTGGCAATTTTTCATCTCAAAAATCAAACATTATCAAAACTTCTCTGATCATTCACATGCATAATGCAACATTGTGACATGCTAGAACAATTCTGAGTATGGATCAATATAATCAGCTTAGTATAAAAAAAAAACATGCTTTTACCCCAGTAACAAAACCTTTTGTTGCCCAGTATAATTAGAAAATTGCATTGAAGTAAAGGAATGTAATGAGTTTAAATTTTGAACAGAAGTAATAATAGATCACCTGGGAAAAAACTGTTATTCATCTTTGGTGCCATGGTTATTTTATTCATGAATGATCTGAATAAATTGTTTTGAATAAAACAAGTAAGTTTTTAAATTAAGCTGAAATGGTGTATCTTTTCTTTTTTTTTTCAAGAGATATTTTCTTAGCAATTAACAATACAGAAGTGAGCTTTATAATCTGGCTTCTATACTATTTTAAGCTTATTTGCCACTTAATTAAAATCTTTTTCTTAAGAGTATTACTTTAACTCTAATCAGCTATTAATTAAGCATTGATGAAATGACGTTACAATTTTAGCAAAAACTGTAAAATGAAATTGCCATGATTCATTCCTGAAAGATGCAAGTGCAAAAAGTGGTTCTGTCACAGGGATTAACATTTTTAATTTTTTTTCTTTTGAATTTATTGTAAAGCCATGTGTGCAGACCTTTTAAACAAGAAAATAAATAAGCAAAATAATTTCTAAGCTGTCTGACTTTCTAAGATGAGCTAACATTATTTACATTCTGACTTATCTCACCATCTTTCTTGTTATTATCACCTGATTGCCTTCTGCCTGAATTTCTAGGATGAGGAGTTATCATTATTTACATGTGTTAAATGTAGACTATTGTCCTCATCTTTGTTGTTGTTATCATAATATTTTGCCCATTGTGCTCTCCAGTCTTCATCAGATGTATGTTGCAGGTAACCTACAGGGAATTTTGAACTGAACCCTTTATTTAGATTAGGGTAGATTGTTCTTGTTCCACTGCCCAATTGAGAACACATAATATATTTATTGATCAGTAGGTTTTGAAATTCTCAGAAGAATCAAGGAGAAATGAGATTGTTATTCAAACTTTTTACTAACTCTCTTGATTGTAAACTGTCCAATAGTTCCTAATTTATAAGTCATTTTCATTGTTTTTTATTAAAAACATCAATGATACAGTATACTCTTCTGTGATTTTGAGAATAGTTATTATCATTCCAAGAATATTTTGGACAACTGGATTCAGCTTTTGTATTTTTTTTGTTGTGACTAAAATATTTCAGCTGATCACTTCTTCACCCTTCTATAAATATATAATGGGTAAGAAGAAAAAAGTCTCTGTCTGTTTATCTGTTCCTTTTTTAAGAAAAAAATTGGCAAACAGAAAAGAAGTGGTGGCTAATATACTGACCATGTTAGTTGATTCTTTGTAACTTGAGCCACAAAGGCAATACCATTTCCAACAACTTGCATAAAACAGATGTTTCTGTATTCATAAATAAGTATGTTCTATAATTATTTATTGTGTAAAGAAACTTGTAATAGTCTAATTTGTTGATCTACCAAACACTTAAGGGCTGGGAAATGCATCTGTTGAAACTGTGATGATAAGACAAAAAGAACCCAAAGAATATACTCAATAGTCTGAAGAACTCATGGAAATACAATGTTGTTAAGTAAAAATAAGCAAAATTGATAGTTAAGGTAGAACTTATATGTATTATTTATATTCATAGTAATGTTCTCATCTTTGTTGTTGTCATCATGCTTTGGCCACTGTGCTCTCTGGCCTTCTTCAGATGTTTGTTGCTCTGGGTTTATCATCTAGGAATTTTGAACTGAACCTTTTATTTAATCTATAGGGATAGATAGTTCTTGTTTACTGCAGTTGATAGACACCTGAAGAAAACACAGTGGTTGAAATGTGATAACAACAACAAAGATGAGGGTATTAGTACAAATGTTAGTACAACTCCCCATCCTAGAAATTTAGACAGAACTTGTAAGGTTTGTAAGTAAAAATAGAATATAGAATATTACTATTCAATTGTGACTCTTGGTTTCTGACTTGTGCCAGGTTTAAGCATAAGGTAAACAAGCTACATCTTGAGACATCAAGAATATTCTTACATAATTTTTTAACATGATTTTTCTTTTGACAGGGAGCCTTCAGTCTTTGTATAACTTAGAGCCTCACCAAATTTCTTTCTGATATCATAAATCAAAATTCTTTCACTTCTTTTAGCATAACACTTTGACAACTTAGGTCAGTTCAGTGTTCCAAAAGGTAGACATGGTCAGTTTATTTTGTTTCTGATTTAGTATCCTTTTATTTCGATATTAGTTTTATTCATATCATGTTCTACTTTAGAGAGAAAGAAAAATGACTATAAGACTGATCAGTTGGTTAGAAAAAGCAACAAAAAGAATCATACAATTATGCCTAACAGAATCACCTTTATAATGATCAAAGACAAAAGGTTACTACTCCTACTCTTCTTTCATATATTCTTTTCTTAATGATCATTGGTCATTGTATGGGCACACTTTCATATAACTGTCCATAAACTTGTTGGCAACTTATTACAATCTGTGATTTATGGTGTGTACTTCAGGCAAAAATTTTCTTGGCAAGTCATCAAAAACTGGTACTACTGAATTTCTTGTGATTAATTTCCTCACTCCTTGTATTAATTCTTCAATGCTTTTCCTCCAGTGCTAACCCTTTATACTTTCCTCACAGATTCACGTTATTACTTATCTGCCCTGTGCTCTCGGTGGACACTTATCTTACTAGCTTTATTCTGGACTGTATAAAGAGTCCACAAATACAATTTCAGTAGATATAGCACCTTCAGATAGGGTGGAGGTGATTGGATCACCACTTGTAGGAGCCTGATCTCTCATCCTCCATTCAATAATTCAATAAAATTTATTTGTGGCAAGAAGGAGGCTGATATAGAGAATGAGCAGGATAGAGTCAGATGTGAAAGATGTCTTGATTTATTTATTTTATATGTATTTTAATGGTTGACAGTCAAGATGCAATGTAATTTGAAATAGACTTTCAAATATAAGATCTATACTTTATTAGTCTCTCATTTTTAACTGTATTTTTTCTTTCATTAACTGTCTAACTCTATTATTCTTCTTTCACTTCTTCATTCTTTTCTTTTCCAAGTGCTTTCCGCCTCCTCTTCTTTTCTTCGTGTTCTCTCCTCCTCCCCTTGTGCTCTCTCCTCCTCCCCTTGTGCTCTCTCCTCCTCCCCTTGTGCTCTCTCCTCCTCTTTTCCCTTGTACTTTCTCGTCCTCTTTTCCCTTGTACTTTCTCGTCCTCTTTTCCCTTGTGCTCTCTCGTCCTCTTTCGCCTTGTGCTCTCTCGTCCTCTTTCGCCTTGTGCTCTCTCGTCCTCTTTCGCCTTGTGCTCTCTCGTCCTCTTTTGTCTTGTGTTCTCCCCTCCTTCTTATATTGTGCACTCCTATTCCTCCTCTTCACCTCATTCTCTCTGTACTCTCACCTCCTCTTTCCCAAGTGCTCTTTTTCTCCTTCCCAAATGCTCTCCTCCTCCTCTTTCCAAAGTGCTCTCCTTCTCTTTTCTCTCATGCTCCTCACGTTTACATTGTGTTCTCTCCTCCTTTCTCCCTGCTTCTTCTGTTCTCTCTACCCCCTCCTTTGTCCCTAAGCATAAATTATACATTCAAACAATAAACAATGAAACCACTCAACCAAAAACATATATAAATTAACTACAATGTATGAATATAAGAATACATAATTTTTTCTTTTTTAAGCAACTTCAGATTTTGATCAGTACTTGGATTGGTTAATTTTTGTGTAAGAGTTTGTACTCAAATTTCTAATAAATGGAGAAGAAAGACATTTCAATGTAATTAAACTAGAAGAATTGGTAGAATTCTTGAATACAGTATATATTTTTTTTTCTGAGTTGCTTAAATCATTTTAATTTGTGAGCACAATCTTTCTTTTTCTTTCCACATTATCAAAAGTAATTTAACAGTATAGATTTAAGAAAGCAGAAATTGTTTTTATTAATTCAAATTTAATTCCTAAGCTGCTAGCTAATTGTCTGATTTTAAGGATACATCAAACTGCCAATAATGATGTGACACTATTTAGCTATGGTAATTGACTAACTAATTAACCATAGAAATTAAAAACAGGAAAGACTTAAGGCGAGAAAGAGCTATATAGAAAGATAGACTGAGCGACATTAAAAAGATTTTATTTTATTTACGAAGAAAGATACTTTTTGCATGAGACAGAGAATCCGTAAGAAAAAGCGAGATATGAGATTCTGTCAAAACTGATTAATGTCATGATAATGGAGTGACATGCCAAGAGAAACAGAATTCAGAAAGAAAAACAAAGCCAACCGACACATGGCGGTCATAAAAAAATTTCTTGAGACCACCGCGGTACAAGCAGAGAGAATCGATATTAGTTATCATTCAGAGATATCATTTAATTTTAATTCCTGGGTCCAACGAAGGGAACCATCTGATGTGTGTTAGAATTCTGGTATGAGGAAGAAAATCGTATTATTATTGCTTATTCAAACTGTTGACGTCAGACACAGTGTCGTCGAAAATGGGCATTTGGTGATAAGAGGATTTTAAGGCATGAGAAAAATAAAGAATTTGATTCTCAGGTAAAATACGGACCTCCCAGCTAAAAGTTGACTTAGCAGAAAAAAACCAGGTGTCAGGTTTTGACAGTGATTGATGAGTTGGTAGAGAGACCCGACTAAGTGAATTTTGGGTGTCCCCAAAAGAAAGATGTGATAAGAATTATTTGGCAATCTAGGGTTTGTAAAAAAAAAAATGTTTTGGCTGAAGAAAAAAAAAGATTTTGTAAACAAAATTCTGGATAATAATTTTAAGAGGGCCAGTCTAGCCACACCCACACTGCTGAGAGATCATTGGTCAAGTGGTAGCATGGGTGATAGGCAGAGGTGAATGTATGAGAAAGACGGAGAAGTTGTTAACACCCACTGAAGGGATTGATATGAGATACCAATATGAGAGAGGAAGACTCTAGGAGGATAACTCCTCCGACCTTCCCTCACGGACGAGGGAGAAACCCCCGAAATGGAAAGTGATTAATCTTCCAAAAATTGGAAGTAATTAATTTTCCTGGCCTAAGAACAAAGAGAATTCTTGCTGGGAATCGAGAATTATCGGGGACCCAAGCCACGTCAGGCCCCACACTGGGTTTTGGTCGGTGCCCATATAAACGAGCCTCCCTGGGTAGTTTTGGAGTTCCAGCAGTTGATTCACAGTTGCAGTCAGACTGTTGCCTTGCAGAATCTGACCGAGAGATTTCCACATCCTTTTCAACTTCGACTTCCTACCAAAAGCAAGTTATATTGATGAACGACTTAAGATACCAAAACTCACTTAAGAAATGCAAAAGTGTCACAAATCCATAGAAACGGGCTGGGAGAGAAACACACTCCTGTATATAACAGACTGATAAAGATAATTTGTTATTTCTCATCATATTTGAACCTCTTGAGTTCTTTTATTACTTCTTTTACTTATGCTTGTGCGATATCACCTTTACCCTGGATTCAGCTTGCACTACAGCCCAACGCCTGATTGATGTCGTCTACCTAAGATCAAAGTCACAACGTGGGTAGGTTAGACTTGAGATCAAAGTAGTTACTTCGGTAACCAGATGTTGGAAGTGAGCTGGGAACGACAAAGCTGGTCTTGAACCGGGAATGACTAGATCGACTGGGACACAGGCTGGTGGCAGCGACAAAGTGTCAACCCCAAAACGCTGGTGGAAGAAACCTTACAGTTTCGCACTGCAACTGGGAGTTGACCACGGGCCAACAGCAAGGTGTCACATATTGGCGTTGTGACCAGAGGACGTCACATATTGCAACTGCAACCACCAGTGGGTGTCACAATGATATCTGTTGCTGCTTTGGTAAAATTTATTTTGAAGCTTTCTTTACTGTTTTAGTAAAAATAGAATAATATTATCTAATGGTAGATCTTCATTTAACAATGTTTATTTCATTTGTACTTCCTTATCTTATTTACCAAATAGTTTTTTTCTTTGTATGTCATCATATAACTCAAAAATGAGTAGATCTATGGCCAACAAATTTTCTGAGGTTCCTAATAGGATCCTGGAGTATGTTTTTAGTTATTGTAAATTCCAGAACTTCAAGGGGTTTATTTACAATGTAAGTATAATGCAAGACTAGACCCTTATTTTGTGCCAACCAGAACTAAATCTTTTTCCTTTTGTTTAACTGTGCTTGAAATCTTTTGTGAAATTCACTCTTCCCAGATAATGAAATTAAATGTAATTCAAGAGTTTACAAATGGTGATGATTTTCTAATAAGGTATAATTCAATAATTCAAATCCATAATCATTTAATGGAACCAAGGCCACCATTAAAGCCTCAGGTAGGAACTAGCTTAAAATTCCACTTACTAGAAGTTTTCAGCTAATATTATTATTTGTTAGTTTCAGTAATACTAAAATTCACCAAATCTCTTTTTAGTCAACAACAGTTAATTTTTCGGCCACCAAATTTTCTTTGTTTATACTTAGGGCCACTGAAGCATGTTTTTCTTTCTCTTCTATGTACTATGTCCCTTCAGGACATAGGCGATCATAGCTCTCCACAGCTTCCTATCCCTTATGATACTGAGCAATTTTTCTTCCTTTACTAAGTCCCCCACCCATGTTCCATCATCCATTCTCACAAACTCATCAAGTAAGTGTCTCACTACTTTCCCCTATCTCTCTTGTCCTCATGAGGCTTAAGTTTTCCTCCTTCTTCATTATGTGTCCAAGGAATTTCAGCTATCTTTTCCTGATTATGCATATAAATGTTCTTTCTGTTGCCTTCTATTATCTTTTTGTTGAATTGTACTTGAAATCCTTTGTGAAATTCACCTTCTGTACATATCTAAATTAAATGTAATCCAAGAGTTAATAATGATGAGGATGATTTTCTAATAAAAAATATCAAATGTTAAATAAAAACATAGTTCAAATCCATGATCATTTACTGGGGCCAAGTGTTCCTTTTTAAGGCTTCTATATAAACTAGCTTAAAATCCTTTACTTTAGGTTAAATTTACTTTTTTTCCTTATTTATCCTAAAGTTAATTTAGGTTTCTGGAGTGGTAGAATCATGTAACATTTCAATATTTCTCTAGAACCACAGCTCTATTGCCTCAAGTCTGTTCTTCATCTATAAAGAGATTTTCTAACATTGACTGTCAGAGAGGAGGACTGATATTGCATAACAATTGAGCACTATTTTCTTTGTAACAAAACTTTCATGTTTCTTAATACTTTGCTTACCTTTTTGGAAAGCAACTTTCACTATTCCAATGCACCTTATGTGATAAAAAGCAATGATATGAAATAAAAACTAATCAAAAATTAATAATAATTTTTTATCTAAGAAATTCAGACAACCTAAAGACTATTAAATGTACTGTTACTGTAAACAAATATAGCATGAATAATAATATGATGTTGAAATTTGTAGTTATCAGTCTGTAGATTTACAAAGTTTTTGTAGCCAAATTGGTAGAGCAGATGTCTTGGTTAAATTCCCAGAATATAGGATATGAGAACAAAGTTTGTCAGAGGCTATTTACTTTAATGATCATAATGAAATAAAATAGTAACAATAACAAATTAGTAACCAATAAAATGAAAGAAACATTTATATATATAAATAATAAAAATATTTAATCTACGAAATTCAGGCAATTTGATAAAATTCTGTTTTTTATGAGTGATAATACTGTGAAGCTGGAATGTTTCAGATGAGAAGTTATCATTATTAATTATTATGTCTTAATTTATTCAGATTAGTGCCATCATTTTGTTTGTTAATGTTATGGTTCACACATTTTACTGTCTGGTTTTCTTCAGCTATCTGCTTTGTTTGATGACATTTTTTTAATCAAACCCCTTTATTCAATTCTTCAATTCAAGGGAGTAGATTGTTTTCATTCTACTGTCCATGTTAATAGCAATATCTTGGATCAATTCTTCTTTGTTAAATTGTCCCTGTGAGGCTGATTTTGGACATCCTTCACCAATTAAACCAGAGTACATGACTTTCACTGCCTGACCCAGAAGGTTATTGAATATAATGGACACCTAAAGAAGGTTAGGAGGTACAATGTCTGAAACATTGGGGGCATTATAACAACCAGATAAGGACACTTGTCCAAAGAGATCAATGTATGATCATAGATTTACATTTCTCTTTATCTTAAAAATATGAATATTAATACTATTAAAGAAAATATAAATAATGAAAGAAAAAAAAGGAAAAAATCTTTGCTATAGATTTTTAGCTGCTAATATATAGAAAGACATTCCATATTGGTTGATGGTAGCTCAGTAACATGATTATTATTTTTTTTCTTTTTTTATATATTCTTAAGTTCAGAATAGAAGGGTAGGTTGGAAAATCCATTCAAAATTAATTTGTTTTTTGAACAAAAAAAGGAGAAGGGAGATTGGAATAAATGGTGAGGTTGGAATAAACAGATAAATTAGAAAAAATAGAAAATAAAATAAAATGATGGGAGGTATGGAATAACAGTGGGTAGATTAGAAAAAAATTCAAATAGCCAGCCAAGCTCATCTATTCTAGATGTGAGAATAGT